ACCTCAGTTTCCTCATCTCTACAAATGCAGGGTGGGATCTTGGTAGGATTCATTGCTGCAGCTAAGGGACCAGGAGTTCTCCTGTAGATGCAGGGGCTTGACCTGGCCAATCATCAGTGCCGCAGGCAGAGGCAATTTGGGCGGAGTGGACAGGTGCCCTGCTGGTCCCTCCCTTCGGCTTGTTCCCAGCCCGGTGTGGCAGGGGGGTGTGACAGCATGGGAGGCTGCCTCCCCAGGATTTGCAGCCTCTGGGGCTGTGGGATACTGGAGGCTTGGCTTGCCACGTGTCCCTCTCCTGAGCCTCCTGCTCCGCTCAGCCCAGCCAGGGCTACAGGCCCACGGGAGTCCTCAGTGTAGCCTCACACCAGGTGCATGGTGAGACAGCCTGTATGAGGAACCGCTTTGGGAAGAGGTTGGGGAGCAGGCCAGAAGCTGGGAGGAGGATAGGGGCTCAGGGTGGGGACAGACATCTCAGGACCCAGACCTCCCAGGGAGGCACCCATTTCTCCACCGGGCTCCTCCTCAGAGGTGGTTCACATGCCCCACAGCCTGGGTGGGGACATACCTATATCGACCAGCCGGATGGCATCACAAAGGCAGGAAAGGCATTTCTGCACCAGGCTCCTGGGCTTGGTGAGCAGAGCCGGGGGCTGGGTTTGAACTCACTTCCCTGCTGGCTCCTGGGCCCAGCATACAACATCTTTGTACAAGACCAAACTGTTTAACAGTATATAGAGGCTCTGCCCAGGATATGGGAGGGCATTGTTTGGGGCCCATGGGCCCAGCCTCTCCTTTATCCTGGCTGACCCCTGCCTGCCTCAGACCCAGGCACCAGACTCCCTGCACACATACATGGCCCCTGCCCACTTCATGTCCCCCCATGTGGCAGGCAGCCTCAGGGACTGTCCGCTTCTTCCTGATGAGGTGCAGGAGGGGAGGAAACTGCTTCAGCCCAGCTCACTCACTCAGCAGGCCACCGACAGATCTTCCTGAGCTGGATTCAGGGCCCCACCCCAAAACTAATCCAGTGGGCTTTCAGCCTCGGTGACACTTTTGAGCTCCTTGGGACACTGTCTTCTTCATGTGCCTGTCATCTCTGTACTGTCCTTTAACTCAACAGACATTGACAGAGGGCCTGTGAGCTAAACAATGCATCAGTGCTGGAGAAAAGCAGATCAGCACTTCTCCCTTCTCACAATGAAATAACCAATCATGTTGAGTGAATAAATGAATAAACACTGAGCGGCATTGAACACTGACTCTGTGCCAGGAATTACACCTAGGCAATTTGTTTATTTAGTCATGGCAACCTATGAAATAGGTTCTATTATCCTCATTTCCAGGTGTGCCAATCTGAGGCTCAGAGGTTAAGTAACACTTGCCTAAGGTCGACAGCACAGCCTGAAGGAAGTGTCAAAACTGCTGGTTGAACGAGTTTGTGGCTCCCAAAACCACACAGGTTCTTCCTTCCTTTTCTTTCTTTCTTTTTTTTTATTTTCCTTTTTTTAAAAAATCTCAGAATAGCTTCAAACACTTTCCTTCATTTTCAATGACATTTATTGTTTTCTTTCTAATTTTACAAGCAGTACATTCATCGCAGACAACTGGAAGATACATAAAGCATAAAGTAAAACTAACAATCACCCGTAATCCTCACCACCCCAGAGATAACCACTATTAGCATTTTGATGTATTTTCCTCCGGTGTATATCATCTTTTATGTAAAATTGATATCATGCCATACAGAGCCAATTTCACCTTCTTTGTCCCTTTTTCATAGTTCAAACTATTTTGTGAGCATTTTCCATCTGAGTAAATATTTTGAAAACTTGATCTGTAATGCTTGCACACATCCATTCTTAAGCATTGCTTTTATTTAACCATGTCTTGCTTTTGGACACTTAGGTGTTTCATATTTTTTATTTATCTAAGCGTAACATCATAGTGAGTATCTTTTACATAAATCTCAGACGATGTCTATGGAATGAGATTCCCTGAGGGAGTTCCTGGGGCAAAAGAGCATGAGCATCGCCATAAAACCTTTAAAACGATATCTTGAAACTGAAAGTGTCAATTGTCTACAGTGCCCTCCGACAGTGGGAAGTGCAGATGCCCGTTTCTTAAAACCACTTGTTACTACTGGATTCACTATTAAAACAACTACACAAATGAAAACCAAAAACCTTCCTCAAGACAGGTTTTCCCACTTCCCAGCACCTCACTCTGTGGTTCCTGGCATATGGGTTGATGACTGATTCTCCTGTTACTGATATGGGGAAATGGTCCTCAAGTAGCATGCCTGCCCCGGGTGGAGCTACTGTTAGCCAAGGAAGAGCAGGACTGGAGCCGGGGGCACCCTCCGGCCAGAGCCCTCTTCCAGGCACCCTCAGAGGGAGCTTCCTCCCCTGCAGCTCTCCAGGGCCAGGGGTGTTTCACACCTCTGCTGTGGGCCTGGAGGTTTGCAGGCTTGGTGGGGGGGTCACTGTGCAAACCCATCCCTTAACAATGGCTGATAGTTGATACATAGACAGGATCCTCACCACCTACAGCAATCAACCATATCTCTTGCTCCATTCATTCATTCATTCATTCATCTCTTCACAGATTTGGCACCTGTATGCCAGGCACCGTCTAGGCTCTAGTCTGTACTTCATCATCCACTGTCAACATCAAATTATATCGCCCAAGTCACTTCAGTGTCTCCCAGCCTTTCCCACTGGAGCCATGTTTTCAAACTTCTGTGATAACAGTAGCCTGGGGTGCTTGATAAACACATCATCAGGTCTCTCCTGAAACTCCGTTGACAGTAAGCCTGGGTCCAGCCCTGGAATCTGTTTGCTTTTTGTTTTGCTTGCTTCCCTCTCTGATTCTTGCATTCAGGAGGCAAGTTCAGAGCAAGTGCCAAAGGCTCCCCAAACATTGACATCTGGTGCGGCACCTGTGTGTGTGTGTGTGTGTGTGTGTGTGTGTATGTACAAGCAAAACACACAGGTGAGTAACCAAGCGGCTCCCAGCACAGCCCCAGCACCTCAGGCCCTGCTAGGACACCCTGCTGTGTCCTCAGCCTCAAACTCACCAGGCTAATGACGATCTTTTTTTCTGATTTGCAAGCGATTAGTTTTAATTTGGGACAATTAGAGGGGAAGAGAGAGAGAGTGTGTGTGTGTGTGCCTGCCCATGGGGTTGGGGGTGGGGTTTGGAGCTGGGCCTTGGGAAGGGAGGCTCTGGGGACAGCTGGGAAACCACCTCACCCCTGCAGCCCAGCCCAGCCCAGTCTGGGGGTCAGGGCTGCAGTGAACAGAGTGGCCCCAAAGGGCCGAGCAAGCCCATGGGGGGCCCAGCTCATATTTAGAGGCTGCCTACGGACCGCAGGCATTAGGCTAGACTCCTGTCCCCACGATAACTCCAGGAAATAAATAACATCCCTATTTCTGCCTATGAGGGAACCAAAGCTCAGAGACGCTAAGAGGCTTGCCCAAGGCCACACAGCTGGGGTTAGGCTCCTTCAGGCCTCCTGATTTCCCTAGCCCTGGGCTCATTTCCTGGGAGCAATGGAAGCAGGAGACCTGGCATGCTGGACCAACTGAGCTGTGTTTCCAGAACAGCTCTGGCGGCTGGCGCTATTACGAACACAGGACTTTTCGGCCCATCCACAGCCCAGGTCTCACGTTCTGACAACGGTCCGAGAGGTGGGCCTTCCTCTGAGCCCGTTTTAACTGAGGCTTCCTAGAGACAGGAAGGTATCTGTTCAAGATCTCAGGGGTTCTGTGGCAGAGCAGGGTTTGGAACTCAGACTCCTGGCCCCTGGGACAGGTCAGCAGGGTGGCGGTAGGGGGGGGTGGTCTGCTGGGGCTGCACAGCCAAAGCCCCATCTGGGGAGTTTCCAGCTGGGGAAGAGAGAGCCACCCAGGAAGGAGGCGAGCGCACTCCAAGCTGGTCTGGGCATCTGGACCTGGAGGAGGACCCCATGATTGTCCTTCGGTATTGAGCCTTGCCTTGGTCTTCCTGACTCACTTACAAGCTGTCTAGTGTCTTCACTAGAGAGTCTTCTGTGGCCCCCAGCTTGGGGCCTTGGGAACTGGGTAGCTGGCCAGGGAGGCCCCTTCCTGAGCTGGCCCCTGGGCTGGAACATGTGTGTGTGAGGGCCAGTTTGGGGACCAGGGCATTGCCCCCTGCAAGGAGTGACCTGGGCCTGCAGAATGAGTAGGCCTGATACTGACAGTCCCCCCTCTCCCCCCCCCCCCTGTCCTGGGCAAAACACAGTTGGTCACTTTAAGAAGGAGGCTAACCATCCTTTCTCTGTCTGCCCCACAGGGTTGTCAAAGGGCGTTAAAAAGAACTAGGAAGTGTCCCGCAGGGTGACTGTAGGACCTGGGCTGGTTTCCTGGGGGTGGAGGCGGGGAGCCCTGGATGATGAGATCCGCCTGCCAGCTGGGAAGAGAGCAGATCTTTGAGCCTCAGCTCCCTCACCCACGAAATGGGGCCAAGGAAACCCACCTCTATACGGGTGTTATAAAGAACAGGTGTGGACAGCCCTACTGAGTGCTCTCACGGACTCTGGCTCACGGGTGTCCCCCTTCGGCCCCATGGAGCCTTCCGGATCTGCTCTGCCCTACCCTAACTGCCCCTCGAAGCCTAGGCCCTCTTGTGCCTGGTTTCTCTTGGCACCACAATGATTGACGGTCAGTCATCTACCTGATGCGCCACGGGCGTTTCTGATCCAGGGCTGGGGTCTTCCAGACTCTGATTGTAACCACCCACTTTACGGATGAGAAGACTGAGGTTTGGAGAACACAGACACCCTGCTCCTCCTCCTCCGCTCTGCCTCACTGCAACCCATTCCTCTTCCTTATGGGATGCTTTCTTTCCTCCTCCCGGTCCCACATCCCCACGAGTGTTTCATTCCCACAGTGCCCCGGTCGTGGGTCCTTACTTGCTCTCGAGTCACCTCCTTCCACTCTCCAGCCCACACACCTGGGTCTGGGCCACTCCAGCCATACCCTCTGCCTCTGTGCCTTTGCACATGCTGTTCCCTATGCCTGTGGTGCTGTTCCCCACACGCTCCACCTGGTGGGTGCTCCTTGACTTTTGACTCCTCTCAAGGGTCACCTCCTCGATGATGCCCTCCTTGACCGCCCCCAAGACCGGGTTAGGCACTTCTGAGCTGCTCGCATTCACCATTCCGCATTTTTCTCTGTACAGGTTTTGCTTCCTCTTAGACCGAAGCCTTGCTGAGGGCAGGGGCTGGGCCTTTCACCTTGCAGCCTGACCACCCAGTACAACAGTCCTCAATAAAGATATTCAACACATAAATATTTACTCAGCCCCTTCTCTGCTCAAAACCCTGCTGGGAGCTGCCAGGGAGCCAGAGATAAAGAAGATAGTTTCTGCCCGGAAGGAATTTGCAGGCTAACAGGGAGACCAGACAGGTACATAAATAACCACGCTAAAAGGTAGAATGCTGCAAGGCTCAGGAGGAGTGCAGGGTACCCTGGGTGTTCTAGGAGAAGCCAGATGCCCACACAAGAAACGCCGGGAGGGGGAGGAGGGACTGAGTGGCGGGGCCTTGGAGCAGGGTAGAAATACATCAACCAAGGAGTGTGATGAGACCCGGGAGGTGCGGGGCTTTCAGGCAGAGCGAGCGGGGGTGGGCAACAGGGCCAAGGGTGAAGGCAGCTCTGGGCTGGGTGGCATAGGGAGCTGAGGTGGACAGCAGGTGGCAGCGAGGGCGTGGGAAAGGCTTTGGTGCTGGACGGATGAGTCTGGGGATTTTATCCCAATGGTTTTCAGACTGTATTCCCAGGGGCCCTGGGGCCCTGCAGAAGGGTCCCGGACCCTACAAGGCCTGGGGGTGGTGCAAGGGGGGTGCCACAGAGGTCCTCGGCAGGTTTTGTAGACAGGGATTTTCACAAAGGCTTTCACGTGAATAATTGCCTTTAAAAGTTTGGGCCATCATGCTGCGGGTGATGGGGAGCCCCTAGGGATCTGGAGCAAGGCAGGGAGGCCAGAGGTGGGGCCCAGCCTTATCTCCCAGCGCCTCCCAGGCACCCCACCCCCAACATACACTCAAGACAGCGGGCAAAAGCAGGAGACACGGATAAAACTGCTGTTCAGAGGGGCTGATACAGGGCATGGGAAGCAAGTGCCATAATTACAAAGAATTTCCTGAGCTCATGTTATTGCAACAACCCGTCAGGTCAGCCTGGGCTCCAGGCATCCTGAGGTGAAGGGGCCAGACCCCGTGGCGGGCACCTGCCCTAGCCCCCCATCTCACCCCATGGCCCCCTCCGCTCACAACTGCCTTCTTCTCCCTCCTCTCCCATCCTGTCCCTGTCCCTGCCCCACTCCACACCAGCGCCTCCCAGAGGCTCTCTGAGAGAGATCTCCCAGGCACCTGCCGGGAAGGCAGGAGAACTGAGCACGGGGCCCTCCCCAGATGTCCCCCCAACTCCACACCCGGAACGTGCTCGCCCCATGTCTGCTCATTTCAATCCCCAAATCCCGCCTCCTCTAGGAAGCCTGTGTGGGCTGCTGTAAAGCAAGACCGGTCAAGAAATTCTTATCCCTCCTGCAGAGGAGCCGGAGTTGAGAGTGGCTTGAATCTGAGCCCACATTCAAGGGAAGAAGAGAGCCACACGTGATGAACAATGTCTTCTGTGAGGGCCGGATGGGGGAACAGTGGCTTCTGTGTCCGTGTTTAGTGTGCCTACCCCTCCTGACTCCAAGCACCCAGATGGATATTCAACTAGACATTTTCGAGGTTCCCTGCAGCCCTCAGATTCTGGGAGGGGCCATATAAGAGCAGATGACATTCTCTTCCATGCTAAGGCCACCTGCTTCCCGATCTCTGCTAAAGAGATCTGCTCAAACTCCTCTGTGGGCCTAATGCCCCCGGGTCGTTCTCAGGGCCCCGCGTCGCTGCTCATTGCCGAGAGGAAGCAACCAGAAGGGAGATAACAGAGTCACATTCTCAACAGTCTTTGCTCACACCAGAGCGTCTCAAGATGCCCTGGGGAAGAGGACAAGATGTCCTGATGCTCCAGGAAGGTGAGGACGTCTCGCAAGGACAACCATGATTCCTCCCACCCAAATGCCTGTCACCCTGTACCCTTGTCTGCCTCCCATGTGGACTGCAGCCCCTTGGACACGTGGGCAGACTCTCATCTCTGTATCCCCAGATCCCGGCTGGCGTGTATGTTTTCCTAAATATTGAACTAAGATCAGTGAATGGAATTTGGTGGGGGGGGGGTGGGGAGGAAGACTTGGAACTAAAAATGAGTTGGGAATTTCTTGGGGTCGGAGCTGCCCGATAACAGAAAGGACTGCCTTGTGGGGGTAGTGAGCTCCCCATCCCCAGAAGGATCCCAGCCACCTGAGGCTGACGATCTCCATCGGTGATACCGCACAGGCAGAGGGTTGGCCTGGATGACCTTCCAACCATGAGATTCTGGGAGGCTACCGTTCTTAGGAACTGCTGTCTGCTGTGGAAGGGCGGAGGAAAGGAAAGGAAAGGAGGAGGGGGGGGAAGGGGTGAGTGCGAGATGCAGAGAGGGGATAAGAGGCCCAGTGCTGTCTTTCCGGCAGGCCAGGCGCGGGCAGGGAGGGCAGATAGGACTGCAGCTGGAGAAACTGAAGCAGTCATGTCTCTGCTTGGTAGGAGAGGTCATGGGATTGGGGTGGACACTGCTCCCCACTCCAGGTGGTCCGGTCCGTCCAACACAAGCACAAACTAAGGGCATGAGACTGGGTCCCGCACCTCCCTGGGCACGTCCTATCCCCTCCCTGGGCCTCAGTTTCTATGCCTGTGATCTCTTGGTCCCTTTCCGGCTCTGACTTGGCTCACTTTCTCCCTGGGTGGCAGATGGAATTATTGGTCTCAGTTCTTCAACGTCCTGCAGCCGTACGGTGCAGCTGTGCCCTGGCCGTGGCCTTGTGGTAGGTGGGGTACACCTCCCCAGCTCCTGATCTGGAGCTTGGCCACGGGACTTGCTTTAGCTAGTGAGATTTGAGCGAAGGAAACGCACGTAGACGCTTGAGATGTGCTTGCACGACTGGGACTTTCCATCACAAGAAGAGTAAGCCCTCAAGCAGCACCTGGTCCAAAGAGGATGTTGGGAGACATGGAGAGCCCGGGGTCCAAACAGCGGCTTGGAGTCCAGCCAGCCAAACCCGGTCTAGAATAGCCAAACCCCAGACGCCAGGCAGACTCGCGAGAAATAGGCACACCTTAAGACAGATGGGGAAGTCTGTTACGCGGCATCGTCACGGCAATAGCTGACTGATAGCCTTTCCTGGATGTGTGGAATCCTGGTGCTGATGAGGGACTTTGAAAGATCGTCTCAGCCTTCTTCTGCCAGTGGACGAGACCACGGCTTATTGGAGGCACAGCGCAGTTCCCTGTCTGTCTGCAGCCCAGGTGGGAGAGCGGGACGGGGTCAGGCCGTTCTGATGCTGGGGGTGTATTTGGGGGCTACTGCACCTCCTCCAGGCTGGCTCTAGATGACCAAGGAAGGGTCTCCATAGGAGCTCGCCTAAAAGGGGCAGCCCCTCCTGTCCCGCGTAGCTACGGAGATGGGGGCGCCAAGCACAGCCGACCCGACCCCTTATTCTAAAAAGAGATACCTTCCCTGGGCTCCGCTGTGAAGAACCACGTGGTTCTGGAGCTGGGCTGAGCCCTCACTCCTCATATGGTTCATGCTCTGAGGGCCCCAATTGCCCGTGTGACAGTCAGGGACAAGGGACCTGAGTCTGCTCACTTAGGACTTCGTGGCTGATTACATACGGAAATGCAAGCCGCTCTTCAGGCAGCAGAGGACAGGCACGTCCCGCTCAGTGCTGCCCATGTAGGCACGGCCCCTCCAGGCTTGCCCCATTATTCTGGGCCGTTCTGGGCAGCGGGAGTGCAAGCAGTGGCGGGGGTGGGGGGTTCTGCAGCTCAAGTTTGGACTCGGAGAAACCTGGCTTTGAATCCCAGCCCTGCCTCTTTCCAGCTGGGTGACCTTGAGCGAGCGACTCAGCCTCGCTGAGCCTCAGCCACCTCTCCATTAAGGTGGATGCTTCAAGGGGGTGCCGTGAGGATACGAAGCAAACTCCGCGTGTGGTGCCTGGTACAGATACGTGCTCAGTAATAAAGGCTCGCAACGGTTATTAATAATAAACCGCTCTCATTAGGCTCAGGACTTGATCTTCCTGAAAATGCCTCCATTCCTTTATTTGGTCCTTCAAAGGCTTTCCATGTGCAGGTGAGGCCCAGAGAGGTCATAACTGGATTCTAAGAGGGACAGACTCACAGGTAGCTAACTAAGCTGCCGAGGGTGCACAGAGCAGGGAATAATGGAGTCCGACGGGGACTCAGCAGGGCCCTCAGCTGGGGACCGTGAGCGGGATTTTGCCAGGAAGAGTCAGGGATGGGCGGGTCAGCGAGGCGCTGTGGGACTTGCGGGGCTTGGGGAGTTCAGGCACCAGTGGCCATCTGGGTGGGGGGGGCAGCCTGAGGGCATGTGTTCCGGGGGAGAGGGCAGAGAGGTGGGTGATGGCACAGGAGAAAGAGCAAGGCCAGATCAGGGCCTCGGGTGCCACCCTATATTCCCTCCACCCCATACATAGGCAACTAGGAAAGGTGGGAGGGTGGTGGTGACACGGTCAGACTTTCATTTTGAAAGTCCGCCCCGGACACCGGATGTAGGTGCAGCGGTCCAGCAGAGAGACGTGGACCCCCGAGCGGGGTGGTGACAGCGAGGAAGCAGAGGCCCTTCCCAGAGAAGCCACTGTGAGGCGCAGACTCGAGGGCATATGTGCGCCTGGTCCTGGCTTCACGTTCACCAGCTGCTGTGTGGCCTTGGGTAAATTACCAGTCTCTCTGGGCCCGCTTCCTTGTCTGCAAAATGGAAATAGTACTGGTACCCGCCTGAGAGGGTCATTGGGAGGATTAAATGAGTTAATATGTGTGAACCCCTTAGAAAAACGCCAGGTAATGGGTAAACACCAGTAAGTGACAACTATGGTTGCTGTCACTTTTTCTCTTTGCTTCCCTTCTCTTCCCTTCCCTTCCCTTCCCTTCCTGTCCCCCCTCCCCTCCCCTCCCCTCCCCTCCCCTCTCCCTCTCCTTTTCTTTTCTTTTCTTTTCTTTTCTTTTCTTTTCTTTTCTTTTCTTTTCTTTTCTTATTTTTTAAAAAATTTTG